GCAGAGGATGGGAGAGCAGATAAAATGGACCTCTGGGGACAGGATCGCGGCTCCGCGTGGGTGGATCCCGTTGGGTAGAAGGAGATGGGGAGCAACCACCTCAGGACAGACCCTGTCCCACTCCTCTTCTCCCAAGGGCAGCAGGACACACAAGAGGAGAGGGGGGTTCTGCCTTTTTATTGTGGGGCATTCCTTGCTGTTGCTGCTTGCAAACTAATCCCCAACTCCTGTGCTTTCCCCCAGCTGGGTGGTGTTACCCAGCCCTCCCCAGATTTGCAGTGTTTAACGAGGCACACCGGGTGAAGAGCCCTTCCCAGCCCCAGCTCTTCAAGGCCAGGTTGGATGGGGCTTGGAGCAACCTGGTCTGGTGGGAGGTGTCCCTGCCCGGGGGTGGGAATTGGATGGTCTTCAAGGTCCCTTCCAACCTGATCCATTCTCTGATTCTGTGATTCAGAGGAGCTTTACTGCTTGGCCTTTTCCGGAGGTGCTGGGCATAATGGCAATTGCTGGCTCCGTGGAGTGAGGTGCCCGGAGCGAAAACACACCCCGGGAGAAAGCGAAATGTACAAGAAATAAATTATTTCCAAATGCCAGGTAGCAATAAATTATTTCCAGAGTGCCAGCTAGAAAGATCACCCTCTGATCCTTAAAGCCCCAGGGTGGGAGTGGGGTGTCCGGGGAGGGTGGGTACCCCCCTTCCCCACCACCCTCCATCGCACCCACCGTGTCTAACGGTGCCAGGGCTCTGTCCCGGGGCTGGTAACGGACATATTCAATGCAGGGGCCAATTAGCAGCGTGTCCCTGGCCGGCTGCCACCGGCAGCTCTCGGGATATTTCTCGAGTGCCATGAAGTGCCCGGAGAAGGGGGGTGGGAAAGGCCTGGAGGGTGGGTTGGGGGGGAGAGCCCGGGCTGCGGCCGCACGCCACGAGCCGGGGTTAGGAGCCACCAACACCCTGTGGCACACGGCGAGGGGCAGTGGCCGTGTCACACAGCGAGGGCAGTGTCACCACCTCCGCTGGCTGCCCTCACGTCACGCCACCCCAAACCCAGCAAGAAGCAGCTCGCCCTTGCAAAGCCTCTGCCCTGACCCCTCCTCCCACCCCCAGCATCACTCCGAATGTCTAAGGAGGGTTGGGGAAAGAAAATAAAAAAGACTTGCTCAGGACCTGCTGCTTTTCTTTCTTTTTTTTTTCTTTTTTTTTTTTTTCACGACGAAGCAGCTAAAGCAGAAAACAGCAATTATCTGGTTCAGTCTGGTGCTGCTGGCCTGGAACATGCCATGACAACGTGTTTCTTGTTTCAAAGCCTCTTTTTGTACTAGGACACAGTTCAAGGGATCTTGCAATGCCTGCATTTGTAAACACGCGGCACTTGCAGCTACACGCTTTGCAGATGAAAGCCGGGGGCAGAGCAGGAGGGCACTTCTTCTCCCCGTGTCACAGCCGGGGCCGGGGAGGGGGGGGACACCCCGTTCCCCCTCCCTGGGCTGGGTGATGGGGGGCGGACGTGACAATTCTGGGACCCAGGAGCACCCCCCGAAGGGGCTGGGTGACTGCTCGGAGGGGGTCCTCAAAAGTCACGGCACGTTCAGAAAAATGGAGTCCTGGAAAAGAAAAAAAAAAAAAAAAAAAAAATCACAGCAAAAAATGTGCGTCACTGCAGATTATTTTAGGCCCCGGTCCATGCATAATGCAAATAAGCAGCTCCCGGGGTACATGCCTGTAAAAACCATCCAGTCCCAGAGCGCGGGGCTGGAGGAGCTTTCCAAACAGGTGGTGAAAGGCTAAAATTATGTGTCTCCGTGTCCTCAGCGGGGTGAGGAACGGCCCGGGCTTTCGGGAGGGCTCTTGCCCTACCTCTGCGGGGCTGGTGCAAAACGGGACCCAGACATTCAAAAATTCAAGAACGTTTCTTTCCTTTTGAGGCAATCCCTTGCTCCGGCCGCCCGACCCGCGCTCGGCATCCCTGCACCCCCCTCCCACCCGCCCTGTGCCCCCTCCGCCTCGCTTTGCCCCCCATGCTGGCTTGGGTTATTTCAATTTTTTTTTAATTATTTTTTTTTTTACTTTTTTTCGGGGCGGGGGGGGGAATAAATAAATAAATAAATAAAATCATTGTGTGCTCCTCGCCTGACTTCAAGGAGTCGCTCGGGAAGCCCTATTTATGGGTTGAAATGCTGCTGAAAGAGTTATTGCCGTGTTATTCAGCTGCTGTGCCAAGGCTGCGCTGGGGCTCGGGTTTCTGCTGAAAGGGTGCCAGGCACGTCTTTTTCCAGGAACCAGCCGCCGTATTTAGCCTCCGGCTGCACATGAAAGACTGCAGTCGGAAACGTGACATTGTGTCAACATTTGAGGCAGGTCAGAGCTGGGTGAGACCATGAAAACAAGTCCCCGGGAACTCGGGCACGGGCTGCCACCGCCTGGCCCCGCGCCGGCCACCGGCCCCCGGCGGCACCCACCGGGGTGGGAGGGCGGTGGGGCACCCGGGCACCATCCCCAGCCCCTAATTACCCTTCACTTCCTGGGCAAACATCATCTTTTCCACTATTTTTTTTTACAAATTTATTTTTTCTGCATTTTTTTTTACAATTTTTTCTCTTCCCCTGCAATTCTTTTTCCCCTCCTCCCTGACCGAGGATCAAACCCCACCTGGGCTCCTTCCTGCACAACCCTGCTCTGGCAGGGGGTTGGACTAGAAGATCTCCAGGGGTTCCTTCCGACCCCATCTCATGCTGTGATTCTGTGATCTGGAGCTTCTGGGCGTCCTCCCCCCACACCACAAGGTGGGTCAGAAGGACGGGGTCCAACGTGGACAGGAGCCAGGAAGGCAGCCCTCAACCAGGCTCTAAACGTGCCCCAAACGCCATCCCCCCAAAAATGGGGTGATTTCCAGGCATCTTCAACAAGATCAATATTCAGCCCTAATTAACACAAACGCAACATACACGTCAGGAGCCCCCAAATAAGTTAATCCCAGCAGCCCTGTATTTTTGCCAAGCGTTATCAAATGGACATTACTTGAAGCTAAGACCAACCATGGTCTCACAGCAGCCCCTGGGGAACCAGCTTCTCCTCCGGTGGGTCCCAGAGAGGCTGCAGCCCGGGACCAAGGTGGGCATTTCAACCTCCCACTGCGTTTTGGGCTTCATCTGCCTGATGAAAATCTGAAATATCCCCCAGAAGTGCCCCCTGCCCCATCCCCACGTGGGCAGCACCACTGGGAAACTGAGTCCTCCCGCCCACCCAGAGCCCCCCAGAGCCAAAAAAAAAAAAAAGCCCATTTTTAACTCCAGATAATGGGCCAAGCCTGCAGAGAAGATGCATCCTCCACGGCAAGGGGCTGCCTCCTCCTCCTCCCCGCTCAGCCGGGGGCGGGTGAGCCAAGAAAGCCAGAGCAGAAAGTGAAATAAGGAGAAAGAAAAGCCAGCCAGGGCTCTCCTGGCACCTCCCTCGGGTCGGGCAGGAGGAAAATCCCCCAAAGCACCAAAGGTGCAGCACTCCGAGCTGCCGGGGTCCCCCCCCCACGCCCCCCACCAGACAGGATCACCCCGCTCAAATATTTACAGGCACAGGAGGCACACCCGTATCTTCCACAGGAAAAGAATTATTTTATTAAGTATTTTTAAACAACTACTTAACATTTATTCGAGATAAAAATATGTACAATATCCCACCTTGAAGAAGGCTCCAAAATATAAACACTGTACCTCTCCCTAGAGAAAAACAGAAAAATTCTTCTCTCGGAAACAAGAATACATTCATATTTCTCACTTCTTTATGCTCAAGTAGTTATACAAATAATAGACATCTGAAACGTTTTACCTTTTAATATATTTATATAATATATATATATATTTATAACAGGATTTTACAAATAAAGGCAACAACTGTATACCAAAAAAAAAAAAACCAAAACAAAACCAAAAACCAACAACAAAATAAAGGTTAGAACACAATCTGCAATCAAGCATAGTGCATCTCAACAGCTGGTGCAATGGGAGGGCGAAAGGAAAATACAGGGGTTCTGGACACGAGTTCTCCAAACCAGTAAGGAAACAAACACAAAAACAAAAAAAAAAACCAAAACCAAATCCAACCAGCACTGCCTTTCGCAGTGAAGTTTTGGGGTTTTTTTTTCTTTTTTTTTTTTTTTTTAATTAAAAATAAAAAAGAGCCAAATCATTGGACATGATGTTCCTCTGCAGAGAGGAACCCTCGCAGGTGAATGGGGCCCTTGAGGTCAAGGCAGTGACGTGGGCCAGGGCTTCCCAAGGAGACTCGGGAACTCGGATGCTCAGACCCCACTGGGATTCGACTCCTTGGACAATCCCAGCTTTTCCATTTCCCAAAGGCACTGACGGGGGCACATTCAGCGGGCACCGGCTGAATCGCTCCCTCGGGGCTGGCCCCGCGTCGGGGACGTGGCCGGGGGGTCCCCCCGCTGCCACCGCTCCCCAAAACCCCGGGATTCCCCAGGGAACAGAGCTGGCAGAACCACCCGGCGGCAGCGAGGTTCGGGGTCAGGGGCAGCAAAGTCACCCCCGGGGAGATTGTCCTCCCCCCGCCCGGCCCAAACTAGCAGCTCAACTTACAGGAAGGGGCGCGTGTTAATTAATTTATTAGCTGTACGCCATGTAAAGCTTCCAAGCAGCATCTACGTTTTATTTCTTAAAAAATATATATATATATATATATATATATCAGCAAAGGTGTGGAGAGAAACCCGTCTTACGTCTACCTGACTGTGCACGACCAGCTCTGCTCCTCCTCCTCCGCTCTGGGTGGCACAGCCACCGCCGGCCCATCGGGCACCCCATGGGTTCAGCTCAAACCACCGGCCCCGGGGGCCGTTGCCTTAAAAGCCCTTATGAAAAGTACCGTATTTCGTTATCGCCGCAGACCCTAAAGCCCAGCCCGCCCCAGGGAATATCTTATTATTATTATTTTTTTTTCACAGCTTTGCAATATAAGTCGCAGCCGCCCGAGCCAGCGGTTGTTGTGTAGATGCGGAGAGGGAAGGAGGTTGAAGGGGTAAAGCAGAAAACCCTTTTTTTTTTTTCTTTTTCCTTTTTTTTTGCGGAGAGGGAAGGAGGTTGAAGGGGTAAAGCAGAAAACCCTTTTTTTTTTTCCTTTTTCCTTTTTTTTAAAAAAAAAAAAAACAACTTTTGGAAGTAGTTCTGAATCGCTAACCCGGGCGCATCCTTCATCCTTCTCCAAACTACCTGACAAGGCAGAGAAAAGGGGATTTCGCTTCCTACGCGCAGTGAACCTTATCCCCACACCTCAGTCCAGCCAATATATAAAAGTGAAACAAACAGTCTCAAACTTAAAAAAAAAAAAAAAAAAACAAAAAAAAAAAAAAAAAAAAAAAAAAAAAAAAAAAAAAAAAAAAAAAAAAAAAAAAAAAAAAAAAAAAAAAAAAAAAAAAAACAAACAG